GGGGTGTTGTTTAAATGCTTTGTCCATTATCGTTCAGAGGTCACTGGACTGTGGGGTGCTCACACAGGCTGGCCTTTCAGAGACCTCGTTTGTGTCGAGATCTAGTGTTGCTGAAAAGCAGTTTCGTTCTGTTTCTGAAAAGACGTGTGAGGGTGGGCTGAGCGGGGAAGCGCCAGTCAACCAAGCGGCAGATGTCAGGTTTAAGGTAGGGAGGGCTGGGCTCCGGAAGGCAGCGACGGGGCAGCCTTCACCGCCAGGACTGTGCTTCCGTTTGCTGCCTTTCCCCCTTGGGATACATTGAGCTTAAAATCTGAGCCTTGGTAGTCTCCTGAGAAGTTACTTGACCCCCATCCTTCCTTTTCTTCTCTCTTTCTATCCCTTACCTCTGGTTTCCCTGTTCTCTTGGTTGCTTTTTATTTATGTTCCTGTAGATACCCATTTTATAGATAGAGATTAGTGAGGCTACATTGTGAAGTTGGACCCTTGACTTCTCAGAAATCCTCAGGGACATAATTTGCTCTACTTTAAATTTTAAGCCCCTTGTCCCCCCCCCCATACACCCAAGTGATAAACTTTTGTTTGCACGAAGGCCTCCTGCTGCATTCCAGGAAATTTATGACCTGAAAACAGAATAGCTAATCAAATAAGACCATGAGGGTCAACTCCCAACAATGGGGAAAGGACACAGCCCCCCCCAGTGCATTTCCTGTCTCTCTGTGTGTGTTCACTCTTCTAAGAGTAAAGTTTACCTTGTCTAGATAGTACAGTTAGAATGATAGTCTCTTTCCATGAGACCCAGAACTTAATTCTAGCAAAGGCAAACCTGTTAGGTCTGTGCCCCTCAGGGTCTACTCTTGTCTGTCCCTGTTGACTTCCATTTTTTTGTTTTGATTGGCCAATATCCCTTGGAGTCTTTGGTCACTCAAGGACAAGATGTATTATTTACTTCCGCACTGCAGTGGCCACAACACCTGACTTGACTATTTCAGGGAAGAATGATTATGGCTTCACAGTTTCAACCGGTGTCCATCATCACAGCAGGGAAGGCATTGTGGAGCACTCGTTCATGGTGGCTGAAGAAGTTTGTGTTTGTTTTCCCACAGACAGGAAGCAAAGAGCCAGCCAGAAACCAGAGACCAGATACACCTTAAAACACCTGCACCATCACCCATACCTGTCTACTAGGCCCCACTTTTAAAGGTCCCACAGCCTCTCTTACTAAAGTGACTAGCTAGAGACCATGAAGTCAGAGCATGAGCCTGTGGGGTAACATTCCAGGTTCAAACCATAATATTCTACCACTGGGCCCTGAAAGCTAATGACCATCTCATAATATATATTTACTCCGACTTAAGAGTCCCACACCCATCACTGTCCAAAAGTCTATATCCAGAATCTTTGCTGAGACCCAAAGCAGTCTTTTAGCTATGAGCTCCTAGAAAATACAGAAACTATACACTTCCCATATACAAAGACACAGAGTAAACACCTCCATTCTGAAAGGGAGGAATGGTGGCGTAGCGGGTGGGGCTGGAGGGTGGGGCAAGACCCAAAACCAGCAGGACAGGCATCAAACCCTGTGTGAGAGGCGCATGGTGTCATGATGTACTCTCCAGTGGCTTGGATAGCCCTTCTCCTTGCCATAAGTTACACACAGCCTCCATCCTGGGATAGCTCTGTTCTGTGCAAAAGCTTTCCTTGACAGACAGCCTACGTTCTTGTCCTCTTCAACATCCTGGAACTCTGTTGTAACTTAGTCTTCATCTTCATAGCTTCACCTGCAGACCCTCAGGGGCTCCCTGCAGCAAATCTGACGCTTATATACACTGCCTGGTTCACAAGATTCTTTTAAAATCTTGGTGGATGCTGCCATGGCTCCATAATTCTAGCATTTTGCATGCCCATACAACTAGTACCATGAGGACAACACGACCTTCCTGCTGTCAGTCTGAGCAGTAGCTGTGCCCCTTACACTGTGGTTGAAGTTGCCTCTGAGTTCCTGGGGTCGGAGAACCTGGGAAAACACTTCTTATGCAGCTCTGTGTAAGTCAGGCACCCTAGGAAAACTTCTAGTGTTCTCACAGTTTAATGGCTATTATTCATTTTTCCTTAGCATCCTCCATCATTTTAATTGTATTTATTCACAAGGGAATCCATGTATCTACAAAGTAATGTTACTTATTATCATAGCTTTAAAAATATATTGCCTTTGCATAATTATTTTTAATTAAAATATAATTATTTCATTTCCTTCTTCCCTTCCCTCCCCCCAACCCCTCCTGTTTATCCCCTGCTCTCAAAATCATGGCTGTGACCCCTTTTTCTTTGTTATCGTTGGTTACACACATACATATACACACCTAAAAATATAAATACAACCTGCTCAGATCATTTAGTGTTCATTGTCTGTATATGATTTTAGGGTTGACCACTTGATATTGGATAATCAATTATGGGACTCATTCCCAATGGGGGACTATCTCTTCCACTCTTAGTATTCTTTAGTTGCTTGAGTTCTTTGTCTAATTGATTTGGCCCTGTGAGATGTCCCCCCTCACCCTGTTTTAAGGAAGGTCTTTAAAGTAAGTTTTTGGGTTTAGACATAGGAGATTTTATTTTCCATTTAACTCAGTTCTTTGGTGTTGGTGTGTATTCACAGCACATGGTACTGTGTCTCACACAAGTATAAAATGTAGTTGAGTCATCATCTTTCTCATACTCTCTGCCTTCTCCTAAATAGTTTCACTTTTACCTTCATGCCTATATGCATATATGATGGTGTGTTTGTGTGTGTATATACAGGATATGTATGCATATATGATGGTGTGTTTGTGTGTGTGTATATATACAGGATATGTATGCATATATAATGGTGTGTTTGTGTGTGTGTATGTATATACAGGATATGTATGCATATATGATGGTGTGTTTGTGTGTGTGTATACAGGATACATATGCATATATGATGGTGTGTTTGTGTGTGTATATACAGGATATGTATGCATATATGATGGTGTGTTTGTGTGTGTATATACAGGATATGTATGCATATATGATGGGGTGTTTGTGTGTGTGTATATATATACAGGATATGTATGCATATATAATGGTGTATTTGTGTGTGTATGTATATACAGGATATGTATGCATATATGATGGTGTGTTTGTGTGTGTATATATATACGGGATATATATGCATATATGATGGTGTTTGTGTGTGTATATATATGTGATACATGTGCATATATGATGGTGTGTTTGTGTATATATATATATATATATACGGGATATATATGCATATGTGATGGTGTGTTTGTGTGTGTATATATGCATATATGATGGTGTGTTTGTGTGTGTATATATACAGGATATATATGCATATATGATGGTGTGTTTGTGTGTGTATATACAGGATATGTATGCATATATGATGGTGTGTTTGTGTGTGTATATATACAGGATATGTATGCATATATGATGGTGTTTGTGTGTATATATATACAGGATACATAAAATGGTGGTGAAGAGGAGTGTATGAGTGGCAGGTGTAAGAGGCGCCATCCTGAGCACTGTGTCATAGGACTTCCCTGAGAACAGCATGGGACAGCCAGAGTGCCTGAAATTCAACTATGACTGCTCTTTGACCCTGCTTACTGGGGTGGTTTCCTGTTTTCTTTCACCAAACCTCAAGCCAGAAGTGATCTCTTCCACTTTTTGGACAATCCTTTCTTGTGGTCCTGGAAGTTCTCCTATCGTGTTCTGATTTCCCTCAAGGGTTTCCTGGGTGTCGTAAATGTGAATGGCCCCGCCAGGCGGTGGTGGCGCACGCCTTTAATCCCAGCACTCAGGAGGCAGAGGCAGGCGGATCTCTGTGAGTTTGAGGCCGGGCTGGACCGACAGCCTCCAAAACAATACAGAGAAACCCTGTCTCATAAAAACCACAAAAAAAAAAAAAAGTGAATGGCCCCTCTCTTAAGTGTGAAATGGGAAGAAGGCTCTAACCAAGTCGTTACTCTTACCTCCCAGTGTAGAGAGAAGGTCTGAGGCGTTCCTGTGGCTCTCTGCACCCCCTGTAGTGTCTCCGTGGTCCTAGAGAGCTCTTCTTCTGCTAACTTGGGGGGCTAGGAACTGACATTCTGTTCATGGTCAGGACTCACGTGTGTGGCAGTGGTATTTAGGCCCCAGCAGGTGGGGACAACTTAGAGGAAAGTGGTCAGCAGCAGATGTGTGCACCTGTCCAAGCTGCCTGTAAACACCTGGGAAGGCTTGCCCCTGCTCACACTTGTTTAGTAGCTGATACCTGAGGTGCCACTCGAGGAACCGAAGGGTCTTGTGGACTGTATTGCAGTTGGTAACAAGAGAACGAGCTGTGGCAGGTGACTCATGGAATAAAACTGAGTGGTCTTTTGTTTCCTCCCAAGCTGACAGGCTCATCCTCTGTTCTGCTGGTGGATGCAGTTTGAGCATGCTGCTGTCCTCTCCCTCTCTTTGGTTCTGTCTGGCAGGACAGGTACTTAGGAATCTGTGAGCAGCTTCTTTTTTCCTCCTCCTCCTTAGTTTTCTTTCTCCGAGATTCCATTCATGGCCATGTTGTCTTCTCCAAAGCCGCCGTGGTTCTTCAAGGGAGCTTACATTAATTAGCCCATCAGCAAATTCTACACTTCCTCATTTGACTGCTAGTCACTGTGTAGCAGTTTATATTTATTTTACATCTAACTGACGAATAGTAATTACATATATTGATGGTGTGCAGTAAGTAAAATAGGCTCACAGATCTCTTTTACAGAGTCACGGCCATCATTTATTACAGTGTATTTATTATCTACCTGAGAATGGCTAGGACGGGAGATTTTAAGTGTTTGTACCACAAATAAATGACAAGCCTCGGGAAAAAATGGGCGTGTTGGCTAGCTTTGTTTGGCCACAGCATGCACCTCTATAAAGGCATGATGCTGCGGCCTTCTTGTTAACATTCTGCTTGCCCCTGTCCTTCCCAATAGGGTACTGATGGTGCTCGAAGATCAGCGCTCCTCGACAGTGACAAGCTCCTGGTGTACTTCTATGATGATGCCCGAACACTGTACGAAGGCTTCCAGAGGGGCATTCAGGTGTCAAGTAAGCCCATAGCTGCCGTGTTGTAGCTGACACTTTGTTTTTGTTTCTCGTGAGGAATGACCGGCCTTCCTTTCAAAAAGGCACATCTGCCAGTCTTTCACATACCCAGAATTATGTGTTCATGTCCTGTCTCCTTCTCTAACTTGTCAGAGCCAATCTCAAAACTCACAGGGCCCTCCAGATGGCCTCTGTCAGCAAACATGTCCTATATTTGATGGAGAATAACATATACTAGGCTCCAATGCTTCCTATAGTTTAAAAACTGTTTAATTGGACCTGGCCCATCATTTTTCAAGCTTACTGGGCCATTACCATACATATTTTGAGAGAAATACTAGCTTGCCCAGGAAGCTGTGCCCCGTGAGAAACACCCTAGAGAACCCTTGCTATCCAGTTGCTTGCCTCCATTACAGCCTGTCTCTAGCTCCCCGCCTTGAAGCAGCCCTCACTCGAGACCACTGCTGGCTCCTCCCTTTATGTCCTCATGCACTCCCCTTTTTCGGGTCACAGTCCTGCTCTTCCTACCCCTGCCGTGTTCTTGACATTTTGGTACCCTTTTAACCCTTGCTGCATTTCACTGTTTCTGTAAATGTCTTCCTGTCATTTTCAGTCCTACCTCAGGGGGCCATCTCCCCTTTTCCCCTCAGCATCTCTCTCATCTGCTCGGGCAGCAACCCCTCACCGTACAGAAGTATTCGCCTGGCATGTCTGTGGCCTTCCACTCTCTCTCCACACAGCAGTGACACAGGGCCTGTCACACTGGGCACTCAATATATTGCCCATAAGGGAGCACTCTTCTTAAGGATGATTTTTTTTGCTTTCCCGAGATTCCTCTATAGGGATAGATACTATATGTCAGCTTCTGGTTTTTGTCTCTGGCAGCTAGATTGTGATCTTACAGTCAGGAGCCGAGGGAGCTTCCATTCTCTGTGCCCCCACAAAACACACGAGCACTCAGGAAGCACCCGTTGCTTATTGCCTGACACCAGTGTAGTCTGATCACTCAGCCCATTGTTTTCAGGAGAATATTCCTATAAAGGTGCATTAGCCCATTGTAAGGAGAAAGAAAACGTCCATGTGTTATCACTTACCACATGAACCTTTTGAAGTTAGCATCCAGGTCTGGGTTTATCTGTGACAGTAAATCTCCCTGAGGTAGCATCAAGCTACATGAAAATGTTGTAAGTTATGTGTAGCTTTTCCTCCAAGCAGAGAGTGGGGTGTATCTAGGCTTTGGGGGCTTGCACTACTTCTGACACTTAGGCAACTTTCTGTTCTGTTGTCATTTGTCTAATTGGAAAGTGAGTGGTCTTAGGTAAATCACAGGAAACGTGAATGTAAGCTTTCTTAATATTCATTCATTAAAACAGCTGCTTTTTAAGTCTCCTCCATTTCATTTTCTTAGGATCTCTCAGGATTGAAATATGATAGAGGATAAAGCCCAGCATTTGTGGTGGTGATCAGAAGTTTGTCCAATAGCAGGAGAAGCTAGCCTAGAGCTTTGAAAACCTAATTTAAATTTTTTAAAAATTATTTTTATGCATCTGTTTTGCCTGTGCCCACAGAAGTCAGAAGAGGGTGTCAGACCTCCTGGAACTGGGGTTTCAGATGAACTTTGGGTGCTGAGAATCGAGCCTGGGTCCTTTGTAAGAGCAACCAGTGATTTTCACTGCTAAACCATCTCTCTAGCCCCCTTAAGCCTGTTATCTTTAAGATGCACCTAGCTGCATGTTAGTGTCACCTTGGGATGCTTTTTAAAAAGTACTAAAGCTCATGCCCAGCCATCCAGGTCTATCAGATTTTAGCAGCAGGGCCTGGGGATGGATGCTTTTCAAGTTTGCAGGTGAGCTGCTGCTTATCCGCAGTTTTAGAGCTGGGATCAGTGTGCTATGCCCATAAAGAGCCAAACAGTAAATACTTTAGGCTTAGACATTTGGGGCCATATAATCGCTACAGCTTCAGATGTAAGCAAATGAGTTAATAAGGCTGTGTTCTACTAACACTGCTTACAGAAACAGCCATTGGCTCATTATGGCCCTTGGGTACAGTTTGCCTGTGGTAGTTCTTGGGGAATAAAATGGCATTGGTTCCTGTAGCTGAGGGGTCCCCCGTCTGAGAAGCAGAGCTGCTGACCCCTCGCGAACTCTCAGCCTTGGCTACTGTAAACTGGAGGGTCTGGGAGAAGGACTCTTTGTCAGGTCTGTTTTAGGGAACAGTCAGTGAGTCCAGTTCATGTTGTCCCATCTTCTCGACCACTCACCGACAGTTGAATCCATTTGCATGTCACACTTCTCTAGGCATAAACCAGGCTTGCCACAGCCCCTGGTGAAACCATTCTTCTGTCCCCATTCTCCCATGTCCCCATACCCAGTCGGAACACCTTTACAAATTCACACTTGGTAAACCTAGCTGTTGTAGCATCTTCCCTTTCCTCCCTCCCTGTGGGGCGAGAGATGGAAAGTTAGCAGCCAGGGCAAGATGCTATCCTCACGCATATTTCCCCAATGCTGCCATCATATTCCAAGCACATTGAGGGATTAACCCAGTGATTGGGTCAGAACCCTCAGGACTCCATCACTCCTCAGAAGCTGGTCAGCTAGCACCTGAGCGTCCGTCCAACACATGACCTTTGCAGGAACGTCTAATTCTGAGTTGGAATGCTTGAAGCTGCCCTAGAGATCGTGGTGGCCGCCTCTTCTGAAAACCCACAGTAGTATTTCTACACTCAGCCACTGGCATGAGGAGAAAGTCACAGGTTAAATGTTCTTGAAAATCATGTTAACTGGGTGGTGGTGACACATACCTTTAATCCCAACACTCTCGAGACAGAGGCAGGTGGATCTCAGTGAGTGCAAGGCCGGTTTGGTCTACAAAGTGAGTTCCAGAGCCATGTGATAGAGAGACCTTGTCTCAAAAACCCAAACCCAACAACAAGAGTCAAGCATATTAATATCTCTTCTATTTATCTCCAACCCCCTTCTGTTTAAGAAACAGCGAATAAACAAACAAATAAAAGTCACTTCAGACTCCAGAAGAAAAAACATTTCTCATATGAACTCAGTTTCTAATTTGGAGTCTAGCGTCTACCTGATATTTCGAGGGATAAACAAAGAAACAAAATGCAGGAATATTTAATGGTCAAGACCATCTTTTGCTTCACCTTTGTTTTTTCTTTTTGTAGACAATGGCCCTTGTTTAGGTTCTAGAAAGCCAAACCAGCCCTATGAATGGATTTCCTACAAACAGGTGAGTTCCTTGGCTGTGACAGCTCTCTTCATATCTGTGACCAAATTCTCAATGTAAGCTAAACGTAATACTCAACCAATATTCAGCGTGAATGGAGAAGAGTTGATTCAGGCTCGGGTTTGGGGGTATTCAGTCCTCCGCCATGGGGGATGCTTGGTGCTTGGCTGTGCATGTAGATCGTTCAGCTAGTTAACATCTCAGCAGATCTGAAAGCCGAGGCTGATCTGCAGCAGGCCTAGCCTAAACTCAAGACCAGCCCCTGTGACGCTGTGTCCGCCAGCAAGGCTCCATGTCCGAAGGGTTCTGCCTCTTCCCAGAGTTCTGCCACTCACGTGAGCCCATGACATCCATTTCAGACTCAAACCGTAAGAAGGGCTCTGTAGATTTGGCCCTGGTAAAAGATTGCTGAGCAGAAAACATGCTGCACTTTGGGAACTCCAGATCACCTACGGAAAAACAGAGCATGGTAAACCCTGGGAAAGTCTAGCAACAGGTAGCTTAGAGCACTTATTGATCACCTATACGGATTATTAGGAAGTATAACTTTTCAGATAATTTTAGAAGTCTCCAGAAGCAAATGATTCCCCTACTGGGGCCCCACTTGTCTTTGCCTGAGGAGTGCTAGGAAACTTAGAAACCCCAATTTGTAGTGTCCCCTATTTTAGAGATGTCCCCGGAAATGGTGTAACTTGCCCATACGCACACAGTGTGAGTGGCAGAAACCAGACCAGAGCCAGGTGTGCCGTGGGCATGTTGGCATCTGTTCACTGATCCTCAAAACTGTCCTTGGCCAGCTATCCAGGGTGTGACATGCTACTCCTTAGCAGCCATAGGGAAGAGCCCAGATGTTCAGAGGAGATCCCTGCCTGTCTGCATAAACCTAAAGCTAGGATCCCAGGCATTCGCACACTTAATGCTGTCATCTTTGCTCATTAGCGGCTGTAACTGTTTGAGTCACAGTTTGTGAGCAGTGGGTTGCAGAGCAAGAAGACATCGCCTTTTATTTCTTTTATTCTCATTATGATTACACAGAATCAAGCTGTGGTTGCTTTTCCGGTCTGGCCTCAGGATGGGCAGGCGCAGCTGTGAGCAGTTTAGTTGCCTTCCTTTTTCCTACACAGCTGTCCAGGAAATGGCTTTCTGTCCCAGGGCTCCACTGCTGCTTGCTCTGGGGCCAGGTAACCCGTGATGCCCATGAACACAAGCTGACTTCCTCCCTCTGGCTTGTCTGAGGGTGTGGGTATGGGGGGAGTTGTGGTTCGGAGCAGCACACCCCGGCCTGGGAGTAGCACCTGTCAGAGCTTCTTGAACTGAAGCCCTGGATTTGTCCTCTTCCCTCCTCAGAGGGTGGACAAGAATGCCCAACGCTCTGCTTGGGTAGTATGTGTCTCTCAAGAAAAACAAGAGAGATCAGCTTATACAATACCTTGCCTGTGGAAGGAGCCAGGAGCTCACGTGACCAGAGAGATTTCCCTCTTTCTGTTTGGCTTTACCAAAGGCCAAGCCAGTTTCTATCCAGCTTTATGTTTGTTTGTCTCCCCCCAATCAGTCAGTGTTGGCTCACATCTGTACTCCTAGCACTGCGGAAGTTGGGGGCAAGAGGATCACTGAGTTCCTGGCCAGCCTTGGACACATAGTGAGGCAGAGCCCAACTCTTGGGCTGCAGAGTGAGACCACCTCAAACCACTGAGACGGTTGCTTCCAGAGTCTCTGTAGCAAGACTTGGGCACAGGGCACTGTGTGACAGCCCTCGGGCCCCACAGATTCCCCTAGTGCCCTCTGCATAATTTCTGTTAGATTCGTTGGCCAGAAAAAGAAAGGCATCTGTTGCAGACTGGTGTTCAGGGTACACTGAAAGTCCCTGGAGTTTCTGAAGGTGTTGCTGGGTGACTTGCGCAGTTCAGCCAGAGGCTTGGCAAAGACACAGAGCTGGATTTAACTGAAGCCAGCTTTGGCTTTGCAGAGATCTTTATCTCAGTTTACTTTTTACTCTTAACTAACAAGAGTGACTTTTAGGAAAATAAGAATCTCTTTGATTTTTTTTTCTTTAAGAGCAAAATAGTTGGTCTTTCTAGAGATACAAATGGATGTGTATTGTCCCAGTGGGCCCTGAAAACAGTTGCAGGCATTTCTTAAATTCCAGTCCCTTAAATTCAACTTAGACTTGTGAACTGGTCAAGAATATAAGATACTGTGTCATTGTGCTGTCACCTGGCCAGTGCCACTCTCAATCTCTTAGGTAGGCCTGGGATAGTGTCAGGTCCCAGAAGGGACAGGATTCCTGGCAAGGTTGGTGTGGCTGTTTTCCCTATTGGCATGATATGCCTTAAAAGTACTCTTGAGAATAAAGAACTCTTTATTTTTAAGTTGTTTTGATTTTTTGTTGTTGTTTTGTTTGTCTTTTAGATGTTTTCTCTGTATAGCCCTGGCTGTCCTGGATTTCACTATAAACCAGGCTGGCCTTGAACTTGTAGAGATCCCCCTACCTCTGCTGGGATTAAAAGAGAGTGCTACCACTGCCTGGCCTAACACTTTAAGGTTTAGATTTTTAAAAATTAATTTAGAGTAGGAGTGGCGAGAAGGCAGCCATGGATATGTTTTCCTAAGCTTTGTGACTAGTTTTGCTTCTCCATGCATTTCTCAGAGTTGTAATATTTGCCAGCTACCCACTGTCGTTTTCTGGGGATTACTGTCATTTACTTAACCACCCAGCTGTTCTTTTTATTTTCCCCCTGGATTTATTCAATTTTAGGTAATTCAAAATTTTTATCCTTGTACATAAGGCCTTTAAAAACCTCCTCCTAAGATTGTATTATTTCCCAAAAAAGTAATTCTGAAGAATGGGATTGTAGAGTGAACGTTTAGTATTAGCTGGGTGTGATGGTGCATGCCTTTAATCCCAACACTTGAGAGGCAGAGGCAGGCAAATCTCTACAAATTTGAGACTAGCCTGGTTCTACAGAGCAAATTCCAGGACAGCCAGGTCTACACTGAGAAATCCTGTCTCAAAAAACAAACAAATAAAAGCTTAGTCTTTTATTTTTTCTTTTTTTAAAAAGCTGTTTCTAATGACTGGTTTTGAGGGGTTTGGTCACTTTTCTAGTGTTTTATAAAGGAAAGAAAAAAGTCTAGCCAGGCCTCTTTGCTACATACCTGTGATCCCAGCAGCCAGAGCAGTAGGTCTGTGAATCTGAGGCCAGCCTGAACCAGCTAGAAGAGTCAAGTACTGGGACAAGGTCATTTTAGAATGCTTGTCAAGCTTGTTCATGGCCCTAGGTTCCCCTCCCAGCACTACAAACAAGCAACAACACCCCCAAAAGAAAAGAAAAGTGTCTCTTTATTCTTTGTCATTTTCTAACACTAAAATAGAAACATGCATTTATAAGAAGCCCTGATTTGTCAATCATCTGGGACCTGCAAACCGAGAATAATTTGCTTTGCAGAAGGAGTGTTATAGCCGGGTCCATTCGTGCTGTATTGGCGAATAAAACCTTGTGTTGTGCAAACATTTTTTAAAAGGCATTGCTCCCCTTCTCTGCATAGCTCTGCTTGCAGCTGAGACACCAGTGTCACCCGGTGAGTTCCTACAAAGTCCTTGTCACGGGGATGCCTCTCGTTGCTAATGCTTGACTCCCCTCCCTGCAGGTTGCAGAACGGGCTGAGTGCCTAGGCTCCGCACTGATCCAGAAGGGTTTCACGGCCTCCCCAGACCAGTTCATCGGCATCTTTTCTCAAAACAGACCTGAGGTATTCACCACCAATCATTACCATGCAGAGTTCCCACGGTGCTCCGTGGTTTCACCCGACAGCCGATGGGGACTAGACTTTGTTTTCTGTTTTCTGCTGGGAACATGGCAGAAAGTTATAGGTGTGAGAACCTGAACTGAGAGTTTCTTAAACTTTCGAGAGAAAAAGAAAAGAAAATCACAGCGCCCCCCCCCTATGATTTTTTTGTTTGTTTACATTTTTCTTAATTCAGGTGGTCAAATAAAACTCTTAGAAAAAATGTCAGATCAGGGGCTGGCGACCTCTGTGACTGGATAAAAGGCATTAATAAGTTATCAATAATTAATTAGAACAGAAATTGGGGGTACATTTTGTTAGTAGTGAACTTTTCTTCCTGAAGGGTCTGCGCCTTTCTTCTGATCAAATTTCCAAACCTAAAATACTGAGAAATACCCACTCTGACCTGGCCCTGGCGGAAGTAGACAGCTGTTACTGGCTATGGAGGCCTGCACTTAGTATTTCAGAAAAGTGACTTGCGGGGCTGGAGAGGTGGCTCGGGTTCAGAGCACACACTGGTCTTCCAGACGACCTGAGTTGGATTCCCAGCCCTCATATCAGGTGACTCACCACCATCTATAACTCCAGGGGAATCCAACTCTTTTGTCTTCATGGGTACCCCTGAGTATGTGTGCGAGTGCACACACACACAATTAAAAAAAATAAGGTTGTTTGACATGGGAAGTCCCTCTTAGAGCGCTTCTAGCTAGTTGTGTCAGCAGTAGCTGCCTTGGAGAAATCCAAGCATCAGAATTATTTTTATATCTGCTTATGTCTGGAGAGGCATCTTGGTTCTGCTCTCCCTGTGTTGTGTGTGTGTGTGTGTGTGTGTGTGTGTCCTGTTTTCACAAGTTAAAATGTCTTCTGAGACTGACTGTCGAGTTCTGCCAAGAAGTAGCATGATCCAAGGCTGGCCTGCACTTGGTCTCATGCTGTGATTTGGTTTTCTGTCACATCTCAGAAACATACCTGAAAATTTTACTTCCGTAGGAATTGTATTACCCACATACAACTACAAAACAAACCCCTTACTTCAAGGGATAGATTACCGATGCCTTCTCTCAAATGTGGTTAAGTGTGGACGCAGGAAGGGTATAGAGCCCCTGAGTAGAGTCTTGGAGGAAATGCTCAGAACACAGGCACAGTCTCAGGTCCATGCTAATGCATGTGGCCCAGCGGCTCCTCTCACTCAGCAACCACACCCTTTTCTGTGCTGTGGTCAGCATCCTGTGGTGTCATTCGAAAAGTGAAGCTGGGACAAACAGGTATCCAGAAGATCTGTAAGTGAAAGAAGGACCGTGCCTCATCTGGTAGATCCGTGAGTTGCTATGCAGCCAAGGTTAGGGGCAAGAGAAGCAGTTATTGCATCACCACTTTCCCTGGTCACTTTACTAGGAAGGATTGTTTTCAAGGCAGCTTCCGTTCTTGAAAGAAAGGTGTTCTTCCTCCCCAGTTCCCAGGCCTCATTCCTCAAACTCCACGGCCATTGTGCACCCAGAGTACCTTAGTGGTTGCAGGTGGCCCGTGGAGTAGAGCCAGACTCTGTGGCACAGGCTCCCTCCAGTCCTCTATCGCCAGGCTTCTCTCTGGCTCGCTGGCCTCCCAGCCTTAGATACTACAAGTCCCTTGCTGTTCTCTCTCCCTGTCTCCCCCATGCTCCAAATTGTTTCTCCCCACCAAGGTCTCTGCAGCCATCTAGAAGCTACAGCAAGTCCCTGCTCTCTAAGCCAGTCACAGTCATTGTCTTGTAATGGTGCTGTCCTCATACACTTGTCTCTCTTGTTTAGGCAAATTGCAGTTTGGGTTAGGAAGGGGCAGATTTTTGTATGCTAACTTAAACACTGATCTTAAAAGAAGGATAATATTGCAAGAACAGAAGTAAAAAGCAGGAGCAAGTATTTGTTTTGAACTCTCCTGGAACCTGGCACACAGTGGTAGACAGATAGATGTTAAGTTTGCTGCAGTAGGTGCCTCTGATTTGACTTTCTGAATATTGTCCTTTGCAATGATTCTCTCGAGACATCACATTTTCTTTCTCTGACTTTTACTGTTTAGTGGGTGATCATCGAGCAGGGATGCTTTGCTTATTCGATGGTGGTTGTTCCACTCTACGATACGCTTGGCGCCGAAGCCATCACCTACATAGTGAACAAAGGTATGTCTTTGTTCTTGGCATGACCATTGCCCTACTTCTGGATTTAGACATCCCTATATCTGCTTCAAGGGAGTGGGGGTGGGCATTACGATTAAATCTGCATCACTCTGGCATGCTTCTTATCTGTATGTCATATATTACAGCCACGCTTTTGACATCCCAGGGCTCATTATCACCTCTTCGTTTACAGCTGAGCTCGCTGTGGTTTTTGCTGACAAGCCAGAAAAGGCGAAACTCTTGTTAGAAGGTGTAGAAAATAAGCTAACCCCTTGCCTTAAAGTCATAGTCATCATGGACTCCTACGGCAGTGATCTGGTGGAACGAGGCCAGAAGTGTGGGGTGGAAGTCATCAGCCTGAAGGCTCTGGAGGTGAGTTCTTCCACATGGCCCACGTCCCTGAAGGGTTACACGTGGTACCCAAGCACACTGTCGTCCCCATGCTGGAAAGATACAGGACAAAATTCCCATCATCCTACTAGACAAAGATTTGTTGTTTTGCTCAGTTGCAGCTGCAGGTGCTGAAGCACAAACCACCAAACTCAATATAACCCACATGGAGTTTATTGGGGAAAGGGAACAAAGGGAGGGGTGGGTGTTGGCCAACTAGGAACAGAGATAGAAGGGGAAGGGGAAGGGGTGAACAGGTGGTCTGGGGGTGCTTGCCTAAAAGGGAAAGTTTGCTTATGCATACAGAGACCTTGTGCAGCCACGAAATGTGACGCAGCCACGCGGTACAGGCCCCTTTAAGCTGACTAAGTATCTGCCTGAATGCAGGTGTGTGTGTCAGGGCCCGAAGTGAGCTGGGCCCTCTCATATCAATCATTAATCAAGAGAATGCCCCCATAGACTTGCCCATAGACAACCTGATGGGGGCATTTTCTCACGTGAAGTTCCGTCCTTCCAGATGGCCCAGCTTTGTCAAGTTAACTGACCAGCACACTAGCGTACCCAGTACTCAGTGTTACTGTATCACCTGCAGAAGTCTCGTGAAAGTGGTACTCATATTTATCCTTGGCACCAGTGAACCGTGCCGGTAAACACTGGGACTTTCAACTGCACACAGGTGGAAGTTTCTAGTTTGTATGCTCTTGTTGGATTTGACTGCCATTAAAGGCATTGGTCTCTGAAACCAAGCCAAGATACAGAACTGTCTCGTCATCAGTCTGTCCCTTTGTCATCTGAGGCGCTCTCTCTCTCTCTCTCTCTCTCTCTCTCTCTCTCTCTCTCTCTCTCTGTGTGTGTGTGTGTGTGTGTGTGTGTGTGTGTGTGTGTGTGTGTGTTATGGCACAGGTGTGGAGGTCAGAGACAGTTTTCTGGAGTTGATTCCAACCTCAGGTGGTCAGTCTTGACAGCCTTTACTAAGAGGGCCATCTCACCCGCCCTCGTCATTCCTTCCTCCAGCTTTCTTCTGTAGATTCTAGTGAATTCCAACATGGACTTTTGTTTGGTTTTTGTACTAATCAGGGTTACTATTGCTGTGATGAAACGCCATGACCAAATGCAAGTTGGGGAGGACAGGGTTTATTTGGCTTACTCTTCCACATCACTGTTCATTATTGAAGGAGGTCAGGACAAGAACCCACAGTTAGATGCTGATGCAGAGGCCCATAGAAGAATACTGCTTTCTGACTTGCTTCCCATAGCTTATTCAGTACAGAACCCTGGACCACCAACCCAGGGATGGCCCCACCCACAATGGGCTGGGCCTTCCTCCATCAATCACTAATTACTGCTTGCAGCCTGATCTTATGGAGGTATTTTCTTAATTAAGGTTTCCTCCTCTCAAATGACTTTAGCTTCTGTCATGTTGACATAAATCTGTCCGGCACAACTCATTTATTTATCTCTTTGTTGTTTTTATTTGCGATATGGTTTATTTTCAGCTTAAGCACAACGTTAATGGTAGCCATTCTAGGAGTATCAGAGGGCACGTATGATCTGACCCCAACACTGGCCTTAGGTGAGGAAGCGTGGAAGCCAGCAGGAGGTCCTGTTTACATGTGCATCATAGGTAGTAGATTCCAGAGGAAGCTGCACTGTGGCTGAAGATGTAAATCTTTTTGAGAAACTGTTATAAACAAGGTTTTTGTTTTTAATGCCTACTTCTTTTCCTTCTACAGAGAATTAGAGGGTCTTACAGAGCAGGGTCTGTGGGATGTTCCCAAGGAACCTGCAGTCTGAGGGCAGCTCGTTCCAACACTGACACGCAACTGTGTGCACATTCACATGCACACGTGCACACACCCAGCGTGCAGAACAACTCCTTACACACTTTTGCCTAGGCCTCATTTTTAAATTACAGTTTAGCTTTTTACCTACATTTTCCACTGGAGTGTTTTTGTTTTTTTTTTAACTTGTGGTCTCCTTTCATTTTATTGGAATCTCACCTCCCCCTTGCCTGCCTTTCTGTCCCCTCCTCCAAGACACACACTCGTTGTTGCTTTTTCTTTGCTTTTTTTTTAACCACTGCATGATAAAGACATAATTTTCAAGTTAAAACATTACTCTGATGAATGAATGGTAATTGCAGCACGCAGTTTATATTGAAATCTTGTTTCACCCTTACCTATGTAATGGTATTTATGCATTTTAGACACTTTGTAGACAAAAATGAGAAGAATGTAAAGTTTACATATGGTTGATTGTGAGGTCATTTACATTTATATGTTTACATTTTAATACATATATTTTGGAATCTAGGCTTTTGGAGTGTTTGCCTCTTCTATATTTTGATTGTGAACATTTCAAACATCCAAACTGTTGAGTAATAGAGCATACAGCCACATTCCCATCTTCCTGCTAAAGAGTCTATGGTTGAGGATTTAAAACATCTGCTTCAGCATTAATTTGCCTGTATATTCACTCTCCCATCCATACTTTTATTAGGTAACAGATTTCATTACTCAGAGGTAATCCCATATGCTTGTCACTCACTAGAACTCAGTTTTCTTCACTTTTAAACTAAAGTGGTCACTTTTTTTTTTTTTTTTGGTTTTACGTGACAGGGTTTCTCTGTATTGTTTTGGAGGCTGTCAGTCCAGCCTGGCCTCGAACTCACAGAGATCCGCCTGCCTCTGCCTCCCGAGTGCTGGGATTAAAGGCGTGCGCCAACACCGCCTGGCTTCTAAAGTGGTCACTTTTAAAAGTAATCATTGTATTTTTGTTCTGAGAAGTAACCAGACAGACTTAAGTCTCTGAGCTGCAACCCCAAATAATGTACTAGTGGAGGTTGTGTTTGCTCTCCTAAGTTGTATGACTATGGCTTTATGGTACTCAGCATCATCACCTGAAGATTCTAGAGGTCATTAAGGATTCTGAACAGATTAGCTAGGCGTGGTGGTGCATGCCTGTAGTTCCAGCACTTGGGAAGTGGAAATAGGAGGATCATTTCGAAGAAACCTTCAGCTACCTAGCTATTTTGAGGTCAGCCTGCCCTACATGAATGAGCTCCTGCCTCAACAACAACAACAGAATGGAGAAAATTTTGAATGGATGAGTAGAAATCAATCAAGTCAATCATGCTTATTTGGAGAATAGTTTGTAGAAGTACTTGCTTTAGCTCCTTGTTGACCTTAGCTCCTTTGTGGTTGTCTTGTTTTGTTTTAAGCTGCTGGCTTTGTAAGTTGCCCAGGCTGATCTGGAACTCCTGGTTCAACTGTTCTCTTGCCTCAGATTATAGGTGTGTGGTGCAGTGCCCAACCCTAGTTGACTTCTAATTAGACGTCGGTGTTCTTGTTTTTAATGTTTGGTTATGATGTATGTAGTCTCAATTGATTCAAAGTATGCTAGGTGGAGCTCGGAGCATGCCCATCTAATTTCCATTTTGCAGTAGGTGCCAGCATACCACACATGCATTCTCAAGCTGCTTACTTTTCCTAGGAAAGGAATACAAGTCGCTCTTTGTGACTGGATACGAAGGCTTCTTAATGCCCTAAATTGAAGCACATTCCTGGTAGCAGAAGTCTGCACTGGGAACAGCTGTGTCTAGGGACAGAGCTTAGATCCCCCTTGATGCCCATTCTAGAAGTATCCTCCCATCCTCCTTGCAGCCCAAGTCCTCCTTCCCCTGCAGGTGGCGCATAGATGACTGAGCCTCCCTAACACTTCTAGCATTTAAATGGAGCAGAGGGTGCTTCTACCTGTGAAGAGGTCCTTGAGGTGGAGCCAGGCTGTCAGGGAGTGCATTCTCTGATGGAAGAGGGTGCTGAGGACCAGCAGGTCTTTGCTTAAGGGCAGGAGTCAGGCTTTGTTACACACCATCCTAGGGTAAGGAAGCAGGGCTGGAATACAATGCAGAGGACTTCACTGTCTTTGGAATCCATTCTATTTCTAAGACCATTTATGTGGCTTTATGTAACAGGGAGATAACTGGAAAATGGCTTCCTAGAACAAGAAATAATATAGTTTTTATTCATTAACAGTACTCTAATTTACTTAATGTGAAAAAATGGTATTTTAGCCAGTTGATAGTAAAAATCTATAGTAAAAGCAGTAACTTGTGGGACTTTACTCTTTTTTTTTTTGTGAATTTGGGTGTTTTGCCAGTGTGTATGTCAGTGAAGCACATGTATGTGCCAACTGAGTCCAGAAAAGGCATCAGATCCCCTGGAACTGGAGTAGCAGACAGTTTTTGCATGTGGGTGCTGGGAATCCAATCTGGGTCCTCTGGAGGAGCAGCCAGTGCTCTTAACCACTGGGCCATATCCACAGCCCTGACTTTACTCTTAATAGTTAGAAAAGCGGGCTGGAGAGATGGCTCTGTGGTTAAGAACATTAGCTGCTCTCCCAGAGGTCCTGAGTTCAATTCCCAGCAACCACATGGTGGCTCACAACCATCTGTAATGAGATCTGGTGCCCTCTTCTGACCTACAGGGATACATGCAGACAGAACTCTGTATACATGATAAATAAATACATAAATAAAGTTATAAAATCTTAATATTGAGGGTTTTTTTCTCTCTCTCTTCCCTAATTAAGGACCTTGGAAAAGTGAACAGAAAGAAGCCCAAGGTAAGCATCCTGGGTTACTCTGTGTTGAAGCCTTTTTTGCTCTTTGCAATACCAAGTCATATTGGAGACTGTTGGAAATGAGGGGTGATACCTTGTGGCTTGATATATTCTGTTCTGATGTATGCCATCTCTTTTAAAATTTTCTTCAGCCTCCAGTGCCTGAAGACCTTGCAATCATTTGTTTCACAAGCGGAACGACAGGTACATTTTGAGATGTAATCTCTTCAAAGTGGTATCTAAAAGCCTGTGCTCTCTGCCTCCCTTTTGGGTAATGTATTGACTGATTATAGATGGGGACCAGGCGAGGTCATCCTGTTGCTCTGTGAGAGTGCCATGTAGTTAATTCACTACTTACTAAAAGGGACCTCAGATGCACTCTGTCAGGGTCTCTGCAGAATAAAATTCCTAGTTCTTCCCCTGTTGACACACAAAAAGACATTAATGACGAGTGTTTAAGGTAATTTCCTGATAGCAAGTTTCCTTGGAAGGATCATAGGTTGCTCAGAAATGTAGTATTACTTTGTGCTTGGCTCCCCAGTGGGTATCCAACAGAGGTATCCAAGGCCCTAATGGTAGAGGGTTTCTGCTGTTCTTGGTGGAGTATCTAACCTTGCTTCTGCTTCCCGTGTGCTCTGCAGGCAACCCCAAAGGAGCAATGATCACTCACCAAAACATTATGAGCGACTGCTCAGCTTTTGTGAAAGCAACAGAGGTAATTCTTGAGAGTATTATCATGGTTCTTTGTATTTACTGATTGCTTTAGGCCCCAAGAGAATAAGTAGTAAACCCCGCCTCATCTTCCCCCATTAGGTCCACACAGCATGTAAGAGCAATAAAATGTGGATAAGGCCCAAAGTCCCCTTCTCTCAGATGGTTTATCTGTGGCCCTAACCCTTAAAACCTTACCGTGATATCACCAGATGGAACTCATGGTGGCTTTTGTGTGGGGTAATAGTTGGGTGTCACTCTATGAGTACTTTTAGGAAAAGACAAAGGAGAGACCTCAACGCCTTTAGCATTAGGAACCCAGTTTCAAGTTGCCAGTGAATGTTAGAGACAACTGAAGGTTTTTAATCACTGTTCTGTCTTGTGGTCAGTTGGAGAAAGACTAAAGTCTCAACCTCTAGTTAACTTCCTGTCATCTTAAGGCTTCTGTTCACAGGTCACAGACTGCATGGTTGCCATTAACAAAGTACTACAGCCCATGTGGCCTAAACAACAGATGTTTATTTCCCTCAGTTTAGGAGGCTGAAAGTCCAGGACCAGCTGCCAGCAAGTTTGGTTCCTGGTGAGGGCTTTTCTTCCTGACTCGCAGATGGCTGCCTCTTTCTGGGTGTGCCAGTATCTCTTCTAATGAGACATCAGGCTGTTGGGTCAGAGCCTGCTCCCAAATGCAGTCACCTATTCCCAATACTTGGGCCTTCGGACTGTTGAGTTTGGGAGGGAGTTGAGTCCTTAACTCCAAAATCAGATTGCACGCTTATCTTTGCAAAGGCATTTCTTTTCCCATTCAACATGGTGTGCTGTTGCAGCCTCTAGGGAACAACCTGGAGCCCTACTTTTTGTGGCGGGAGGCTGTCTGTACCTCATGGTTGAGGGGAGTGGACGTATTTCTTTTATGGCTGTTGAAGGCTGGTATTTGAGGGTGCTTCACTTAATTTTACTCCACTGTCACTTTCCTCATTCTCGATCCCTACCCTTTTTGGGGGGGGGAAGGTTGGGGGTTGCTGCGTAGACAAAGCTCAACACTTAATGCTCTGCCAAAATGAAATTTAAATTTCCCAGTAAGCCTTCAGAGACAGCTTAAAGTGTTCAGTGATACAGCCTCACTGAAAATAGTCACACTGTCAAGAAGCAAGCTCAACTTGTAAAACTTCTAACAGTGACACTATTATTTTTTGTGGTATATCAGAAAATGTAAAAGTCTGAATACTGGGACTGTACCTCAGCAGGAGAAAGCAAGCTGTCCATGTTTGAAACTCCAGGTTCAGTCCACATTAACACACGCACACACACGCTCACACACACAGAAATGTACATACATACATATAGAAACGCATGCATATATGGGTATTACTGGGTCTGAATTCTCATTATGTAACAATTTCACAGTAAGAAATACTAATTGAGATGCATTTATAACTTTATTAGATTGAACCTAAGTTATAGTCTGCCCATCCCATAGGCAGTGACCCCACTTAGGGTTACATTGTTACTCAGACTGATGCTACTTTGGGGATAAGAGTATGTGATGTAGAAATTAGTGTGCAGATCACACGTGCACAAGCTCACACAGACACACACACACACTTCATTTCTTGTCAACATGGCTGCGGCTGTGTCGGCAAGCTTTCTTTGTGTTGACAACATGGCGCTTACATGCTGGCCCTCACTGCACCCATCCCTAAGAAATCCCTCTCTGAGGAAAACTAGGTTTAGTCTGCCTGTAGGCTCATCTTGGTCAGAATCTTACAGGAGAGCAGATTTTCTCAAGCTAGATTTGAGGATGCATTAAATGCTGTTGAGTGTTTTCCTGAGCTTAAGGGAGGCTTTCAGGTAAAAATATTGATCCAGCTCATCCGGCAGAAGCATTTACACCGGAAATAAAAGGCCTGGGAAACCTTTCTCTCCTTTGCCTTCGCAATGTAGCAGCATTGTCTTGACAGGCAGTGGGTCTGAACACCGCTTGAGGGGCAATGGGAACTAGCTGGTGGTGGGGTGTTGGGACTGAAAGACTAAACAAGTAGAGCACACAATTCCTCAACACTCGAGTTTGGGCAAAGTTTTCTTTACAGGGAGGGAACAGTTCTGAAGTGGCTGTGCCTATTCATGAGGAATGACTCCCACTCTGGCGTTGCTTTGGGAGGGGGATGTAGCTCTGTTAGAGCATTTGCCTAGCATGCGCAGTGCTCTAGTGCTATCCCCAATAATACTTTTTAAAGAGTTACTTTTGATTCTTTGGCAAGGAAAAAAATGCAGACATGAGTTAGAAGTAGACTCTGCTGAGTGTTGAGGGGCTGTGTGTCCTGCTCTGAAGGAAAATGGAGATATGCTGGAAGTCTTAACCCTTCTCTTCTTGCTGGTGTCCTTGCTTTTAGAACTCATTCAGCGCTTCCCCAGATGATATTCTGATATCTTTTTTGCCTCTCGCCCATATGTTTGAGACCATTGTAGAGGTAGGCATCCACCGTGTCTCCCCGCTTGTCTGTGTGTACCCTGCTAAGTTGTTGTTGTTTTGCAGAAAGCACTGATCATGAATGCCAGTGACACACACATTTCGTATTTACCACTGGCACACATGTATGAGCAGCTGCTACAGGTGAGTGTGGTGCGCAGCCGCCATTCGCGCTTGGTCCCATTGGCAGCGGCAGATTACTGGGAAGAGTATGAATTCGTATTCTAGGTCCAAACTGGGTATCTGAACTTTAACCCTGCAATTTAAAGTTGAGAGTTTGAACATTCAAAGAATGCACATAGGACACACTTGCAGATGAACTATTGCTAAAGAAAGGGTTTTTTCCTTTTAATCGGAAAAAACTTTTTTCATACAGTATATTCTGATCACTGTTTCCCCTTCCTCATCTCCTCTCAGATCTTCCCCACCCATCCAACTCCATGCCTTCTTTCTCTCTCTTTAGAAAACCAATGGGCCAGTTTAAAAACAGAAAAAATAAATAAATAAATAAATAAAACGAAGAGATACACACAGAGAAGAAAAAGGTGCCAGAAATGTACATGCAGGCACACATGTATAAGGCAAACAAAACCCATGAAAACACATGGAGTGCTTGTCAGTTGGAGATAGCTTCCAGGTTAGGGATGGGAGCCTTTTCCCAGTTCCTCAGTGCTGGGCTCCATCAGGCTCAGACCTGTTAGGCCCTTGTGCATGCTGTCAGTCTCTGCGTTCATGTGTGTATTAGTCATGTTGTGTCTAGAAGACACTTTCCTTGGAGTCTTCTGTCCCCACTGCCTCTTACAGTCTTTCCACCTCTCCTTCCGTAGAGCTCCCTGAGCTGAGGGAAGGGGTTTGATGGAGACATCCCTTTTAGGACTGGGTGGTCCAAGGTTTCTCATACTCAGCACATTGTTCAGCTGTGGGTCTCCGTATTTTTCCCATGTCTAAAGGAAATATTTTAATTCATTGAATCTGATGTCTCCGAGGCACCTGTTTGAAGACCTCCCCCTTGTTTCTTGATAACGTACCAATTGGCTGGATCTTCGCACAAGCATTCGATATGCCTGGGGGGAGAAGGATGGTGTCTAACTGACCTTTGCCTGGGTCCCCTGTGCACACACAACTGTGCACATAGTTTAACACCGGACCAAGGCAGGGAGATAACAGAGTTGGTAAAAGGATTATTCTGCAAGCATGAAGGCCTGAATTTGGTCCCCACACCCATGTGAAAAAGCTCTAGAGCTCTCTGCTCAGCCAGCCTAGTCTAATCAGTGAGTCCCAGGTCCAGGGATCACCCGCCTCACCGGTACTGGGCTCAGTAATGCACACGTCACCACAGCCGGTGCCGCCACTGCCCGGTGAGCCTTTTTTTATTTTGAACTTATTAGGCAAGTAGATGGTTTGTCTAGTCTGTCTGGGTGACCAGCTCAGTTTGCAGGATATAGGGGAAGCATTACCATGTGGGATAATCTTGTAGCCAGCCACTTAGAGTCCTGACCCAAACTAAATTCAGTGCCTTTCCAGAAATTTTTGCTTAGATTCAAAAATGGAAATGAGATTTTAATGAGCCTGGTCTGGAGGCAGCAGGTTTTTATTTTGAGAATAAGTAAGCTTGCAAGTCCCTGGAAGGTTAAACAAATATTTGGGCTATATAAAATAACATATAACTCATCCCACAGATAGCTGTTGCTTGTTAGCCCCGGATAACCCGTCTCATTACCATGAAGAAGCCTCCCTCACCACCACCCCCCAGTTTCATACTGACTCCTGTGTCATTGGGATGGTGAAATGCTCAAGTTTCCATGCTTGTATAGTACACCAAGTAAATGCAGACACATTTTAAAGAAACCACCCATATTCGGAGTGTTATGGATGGTTTCTGGAAGCTGGTTTGAAACACTAATACTACAGGCTCATTTGCTGTGAGTCTGGGTGCAGTGGGGTCCTCCTTGCCATGCTGACGCTTGTCTGTTTTCACTCGTAGTGTGTAATGCTATGTCATGGAGCTAAGATAGGATTTTTCCAAGGAGATATCAGGCTTCTGATGGATGACCTCAAGGTGCTTCAGCCCACTATCTTCCCTGTTGTTCCGAGGCTGCTGAACCGGATGTTTGACAGAGTGAGTCCCAAACAATGAAGTGTGGGGGGCAGGAGGTGGGGCTGTGTGGCCTGGTGCCAGACCGACTAGGGTTCAGCCAGGTACCCCTGTATGGCCATCGACAGTCGCACAGAACTTCAGTCTGCACCTGTGCAGAAGCAGAACTCAGTTACTGCACAGACCTGTTGGTAAGGGAACACGCACCACACCCTGTAGATGCTCGCCTGTAAGCTGTACGTCCATTTATTCAGTTGCTCTTTGCTCTTGGTTCCTCATCTATAAAACAGACGATTGTACCAGCTCCCTGTTTCATCAAGGTGCTAAGTGGATCACACACACATAACTGCGAGATGGTTTTATTAATTGTTCCACCAACCCTTGCATTCACGAACGGTCACTTCTCCTCGCCGAGAGATGTGTCCAGGCCACAGTGCCAGTTGAGAGCATGTGGCATCTGCTGTGTCAGCATAGACTGCTCAGCTGGGCAAGACCAGTGTGTGGCGTGGCCAGTCCTGGAACTGAGCTTCTAGTTGGCACTGTGAATACTTTCCCCTTTTCTTGCCATCTCTAAAAACTTTGCTTTAAAATTCATTCTTTCAAAAAAAAAAACCAACCTTTGCTACAGTTGCATTGAGATATGCTTCACATAGCGTACAGTTTGTCCCCTTGAGTTGCCCAGTGCAGGGCCTGAGGGTAAAGCTCCCAGGGAAGTGTGCATGTCCAACCCCAGCAGTGAAAGTGAGGGCTTCAGTGAGGAGCGTCGACACCTTCCAAAGCTCCTGAGTGCTGCCAGAGCTCTCTAACCACACCACAGGCACTTTCAACACCCCAGAAACGAACCCTTTACCCGCTCTTTGTCACCTCCTACCCTCCTACCCGCTAGATCCCGAGCAACCAATCTCATACCTTCAAAATACGCACGTCAGTCTTTCGTAACTTTGTATAGCCAGATGCTATTCCCCTGAGTGGTCGTACACAGTTTATTTAGCCATTCCTTTATGGACAGTCATTTGGGTGGTTTCAAATGACTTTTGGCTACTGCAAATAACCCTGCTGCAAATATAACGCTCTGCGTAGGTTTCTGTGGACATGTCATTTCTTGTAGAGTTGGGTCTTGGGGCAGATTTATACTTAACAGCTAGAGGGGCCTGGTTGGTATTTTTCCAAAGCAGTGTCCACCCCTCCAGCAGCTACAATGCTCCTGCGTTCTGTCTCCACCACACTGTTGTCTGCCCTTTTGATTTTAGCTGTCTTGGAAGATGTGAAAACCTTACCTCTTGCCTCATTAGATTTTTGGACAAGCAAACACTACAGTGAAGCGATGGCTGTTGGACTTTGCCTCCAAAAGGAAAGAAGCTGAGCTTCGCAGCGGCATCATCAGAAACAACAGCCTGTGGGATAAACTCATCTTTCACAAGATACAGGTAGCAGATAGACTGTCACCTCACGTATGTCTCATGTAAAGTCATGGGAGCGTGCGTGTGTGCGTGCGTGTGTGTGTGTGTGTGTGTGTGTGTGTGTGTGTGTGTGTATGTGTGTGTGTGTGTGTGTGTGTGGCAGAGGAGAGCGCTGCATGGTGCAGGTCTGTAATCCCAGATACTTGGGAGGCTTAGGTGGGAAGATTTCAAGTTCAAGGCTAGCCTGGGCAACTTGTAGAGACACAGATCAGTGGCGGAATGCTTGCTAAACATGGTCATCACAGTATTGAGAGATCAGATACACACACACACACACACACACACACACACACACACACACACGATTGGGAGGATATGAAACCAAGAGAAAACAACACAGCTCTGTTCTTTCTGGCAACTGTCTGAAAGAGATAGGGCTATTAGGTGAGCCCAATTCTCTACCTACATCCAGTCATTGCTACAGCTGCTCTAGGTGGAAGAGTTCGAGGTGTGGTAGCCTTCCTTTAGCTTTTCTGGAACAAGTATGCCACTCCTGTAGTGATGTTTTAAGCCTGAGAATGCCAAATGCCCAGATGCCAAAAATGTGGTAGTTGCCATAATCTGATCCCTAGGACACCCATCAACAGAGTGCTAGCTTAGTGCCAGGTCTGCCAGGGGAAGTGGGCAGCTCCGGGAGGAATGAGCTTAGTCCTGGGTCCTGCTGTGGGCACCAAGAGCTCAGTCCCAAGTGAGAGTCCTGTCCATGTGCTGCAGGATAGCTGGTCACATGGGACACAGGGTCTGACAGAGGAGCCCTGACTTCTGCATAGGTAACCCTGCTTCTCTCTTTCTTGCAAGTCGAGCCTGGGTGGGAAAGTCCGGCTGATGATCACAGGAGCGGCCCCGGTGTCTGCCACAGTGCTGACGTTTCTGAGGGCAGCTCTTGGCTGTCAGGTGAGGTCAATCACACCACCTGGTCATCCCAGGCATTGTAATGCCTTGGCCCATGGTTTGATGGACAAAAATGTATATGCATTGTGATTGTGCAGCATGATGTATGGATGCATTGAGTAATGGCCAAAGTGCTGTATGACTTCACATACTTATCAGCTTTGTGTGTGGTGAGAACACTTAGAAACAATTCAGACGTTTTCAGGCAGACAGTGCATTGGATTTTACTCTGCTTTCCATGCAGTAGTGCCTGAGCTCACTTACCACGCTATACATTAAACCACTTGAGCTCCCTCCTCCTTGAATTCACATGTTCAGTCTTCCCAGGCCTCCCGGCCTCTCATTTATATGCTTGGTTTTGCGTGGAATAGGTTTGTGTCCAATTTGCTAGGGAAATAAATCTGCGTGTGTTTGGCCCAAGCCAAGATGTGTGAGCCATGCCCCTCGAGTGTGGCTGCAGGGGTGGGGTGGGTCATTGGTGATGAGCCTACCCACACTCCGTGCTTGAGAAGCTATTACAAAGGAGGCCAAGGCTCGTGCTGACAGTCAGGACATGTGTCGATATCCTGGCCTAGCAGAGCAAGATGGGTACTGACCCATCCTGTGGGAGCTCCCCCTAGCATGTCTGCAGGACGTTGAATAGAAGGCAACATGGACTACAGCCAGTGTCTGACGTGGGGGGGAGGATGTTTGGGTGCGTTTTATGCTATTGAATAAGCGTACTAAACCAAAAGTTAAAAACGTTTCAGAGGCTGGGATTCCTCGGGTGTTAGTAAAACTGAATTTATTTCTTGTGCACTTCCTGCAAAGACATGGCTGCCCCACACTAATAATGTCTTGTTTCTCTCTGACCAAGTTCTACGAAGGCTATGGACAGACTGAGTGCACCGCTGGTTGTTGCCTGAGCTTGCCTGGAGACTGGACAGCAGGTATGGTTGGCAGGAGAGCCATTTCCAGAGATTGGTGTTTGAGGGCAGGATGCTTGGAAATGCGTTCTTCGTTGACTGGTTCGTTAGCCTCCTTGCACAGCAATGCATAACATGTCTCAAGGAATTAGGCCTCAGGCAAATAGCCCTGCAGGTCTGTGAGCTGGGTACCCAGTGTGATTAGACTGTGATACATCCTAACAGAGGAGATGCTTCCTCCACAGACTTGCCAGTGATCAAACAGGGTCTCGTCATTTACTGGTGGTTTTAACCCCTAAGTAGGTGTCACAGTCACACTGTGTGCTCTGCCAGTTGCTGGGATGCAAGCTGGGAAGGGGGATGCATTTTAAGAGTCTCACAGACTCTTAATAGTCTAATGTAGAGATTGTTTTCGATTCTCTGGCTGTGAAGGAATGTGGTGTTAGAAACTAAAGGTATAAAGTCCAGAGTGTCAACATTGATTCCTGTAGAATTATAGAATAGAATTACTGCCAATAGAAAATGCACACAAGCCCTTTGTCTCAAAGCAAACAGGGAGGACAACGGCTCTTTAGGAAGGGCAAATTACGGACACCATGTGAGTGTTCTCCTAGTAACACTGTAGGGAGATGAGTTATAGACACTGCTTAAATATCATGTGGACAGGGACAATGTTATGTAGAGAATGTAGGATACTTCCCTGGCTTATCTGATGCATTATAAATCTAGCAACCATCTAGCAACATAGACCCCAGCATCTACCACTGTCTCACAGTGTGGTTCTACAGGCACCAATTCTGACACTCTGAAAGCGTCTTTATACCTTTAGTTTTTAACACCATATTCCTTAACAGCCAGAGAATTTAGAACAATAGTCTAATATTAGATTATTAAAACATAGGCAGTATTATCTGTGAGGCTCTTACATTTTTTTAGTTGTGAGCCAAGCCTTTAATGGTTGAGCCATCTCTCCAGGCCCCGATGAGGCTCTTAAAATGTATCTTATTTTTGTTTTGGAAAAAAGATGCCCTTCCTAGTTTGCTTTCTGTTGCCATGGTAAATCACCAGGATCAAACCTAGCTTGGGAAGGACAGGGTTTATTTCACCTTACTATTCTTGAGTCATAATCTGTCACTAAGGTAGGTCGAGGCGGGAGACAAAGCAGGAACCGGAGCAGAGGCCATAGAGGGATATTGCTGGCTTGCTATCCATGGCTTCTTCAACTTGCTTTCCTATGCAGTCCAGGACCTCCTGCCCAGGGAGTGGCACCGCCCACGGTGGGCTGGACCCTCCCACATCAATCATTAATCAAGAAAATGCCCCCACAGAGTTGCCTACAGGCCAGTGATAGATGCATCCTCTCAGTTGAGGTCCCTCTTTCCAGGTGACCTGGTTTGTATCAAGTTGTCAAAAACACATAGTAGCACACAGCCAATCCCTAATAATCTCAGACAAGAGAGTTAAATTGACTGTGGAAATGTCTTAATAGTCCTAAGTGTAAAAACACGTTCCTCTAAAAACAATGGCTGTGTCAATCAGGACCAAGGGATGCGTCAGAGCATCACCAGGGTAGACAGGGCTACCTGTGTTCTCTGAGAGAGAGTTTGAAATTGGGTGTGGTAGTACACGCCTGTACCAGCACTGGTAAGGTGTAGGTAGGAGGATCAGAAAACCAAGGCCATCGCCAGCTTTATAAGGAGTTGGAGGCATGAAAAGGTTATATGTGGGTAGGTAGAGTCAATCCAATCGGATCATGGAATTGAGGCAACAGTTTTATTTAGAAGGCATGCCCCAAGTATCTGGACCCACCTGCAGATCAGCGGCTGGAGTTGAAATTTGGAGATGTATTCAAAGTCCCAGAAATGGGAAAGGTCCTTAACAGACCTTGGGGTATTCTCACCTCTCTTCAAGAAAGAAGTTCTCTTAAATTGCTTTACCAGGCTGCAATTGCAAAAGCCAGAAATTTCTAGCAGCTGTCACTATGAGGAGGCTTACTGGTTGTTGAAAATGCTTTGGCCTGGGGCCGTTATAGTGCACTTTGAAATGATTTTCCTCTTTACATGTAGGCCATGTTGGTGCCCCCATGCCTTGCAATTATGTAAAGCTTGTTGATGTGGAAGAAATGAACTACATGGCTGCCAAGGGCGAGGGTGAGGTGAGTGAAAACCTGCCCGTCATTGATGAGCAGCATCTCCTGTAACAGCTGCCATTAGGAGCCCAGTTCCGGAAAGCGCTCAATACGGCTCTTGAGCTTGAGTCTTTGGGGATCTAGGAGTCAAGCAGGTCAAAGGTGCATTTCTGCTTGACCTTCCGTCTGTGGGACAGTTAGGGATTTGGGCCCAAGAGCATGTTACAAAACCCCGGTGGGATTGGTCTCCAGTCTGCTAATGGCCCTGCCTGCGCTGTTTGGAAAACCCAATTACACAAGTGATGTCATTCCATCTGAGGCTTGCATTACTCCTGTGGCTTGACTATCCCGGGTCTGTAGGAAAGGAGATAGGGACACTGGAAATGACTCCAAGGTCCTGATGGGACTTTGGTAATCCCTCTAGAGCACGGAACGGAAGGCTTCCAGACAAAGGTTGGAACACATGTAACATGAATCCTTGGGAGAATCCCTGGTCAGTGTTAATAGGCCATGTTTCCTCAGGTGTGTGTGAAAGGGGCAAATGTATTCAAAGGCTACTTGAAAGACCCAGCAAAAACAGCAGAAGCCCTGGACAAAGATGGCTGGTTACACACGGGAGACATTGGAAAATGGCTGCCAGTGAGTTGTCACCTGTCCCCTTTGCAGACAGATTTGTCTAGCTGCAGAGAGGAACCCACCCCACCCTGCACCCCTCCACCCCTGCCGTGCAGCCCTTGTCGAATGGTGTGCTATAGCTCCTTTGTATCCTGCAGGAGACAGGCTTACATTCTCGGGGTACCTGATTAAAATCTTGATTTTTTTTTCCCTGCGGCACAATGCTTTTTAATTTTTTTTTGCTGCCTAAAATCAGTTGAGTGCTGCCTCCCATTTGACACCCCCCCCAACAGCGGGTTTTTACAACATCAAGTGTGTACCTTGATTTGGGTGCTGGCTAGCATCCCCACAGGTTTGTATGCATTGGAACTGGCCCTTCCCAAAGTTCCTGCCTTCCCCTAAGACGTGGCAGTGGCCATGGAAATTCGGCCTTTGTCTGCAGAGTGCTGTGGAAGGGTAAGGCTATGTGCTGGCTGTTGGGGAGCACATCTCATTTGGTGAGCAGGATATATGTGTCCCCACTTCAGACAGGAGGCTAAGTGAAGTAGAGCGATAAGTCTGTTGCTAAGTGGGGAAGCAGACATCACATAGGCTCTTGAATTCCCTCCCACGTGGCTAAATGGCCCTAGGCAATTTCAGATCCCCTGTACTGTGACTGATGGTGGGAAAACCAGCCTGGAACTCACCCACTGTCCCTTCCTCTCTGATACACAGAATGGCACCTTGAAGATTATTGACAGGAAAAAGCACATATTTAAACTAGCCCAGGGCGAGTACATAGCACCAGAAAAGATTGAAAATATCTACCTGCGAAGCGAAGCCTTGGCCCAGGTGTTTGTCCATGGAGAAAGCTTGCAGGTATGGTCTTTCTAGGTTGGAGCCATCCATTGCCAAGCACCGCAAGTGCCTGGATTACAGGGACTCTACAGGTGATTGACAACAGGCGAGTGGGGACACGCCCGCAATTCCAGTACTTGGGAGGGTGAGGGATTATGAGTTGGAGGCCAACCTGGGCTATTACTTCTAGACACCTTGTTTCAAAAAATCAAAGCGGATAGGTGAGTGACAGTTTGAATCCATGCCATTGACCTTCGTGTGTGGTGGGTTTCCCTATCACCGACAGACTGTTGGGTTTTGCTCCACTGGTCTTCACTATGCCCAAAAGTTGTTTTCTCTTCAGTTTCTGGATTTTAATTTTAACTCTAGTGAATTGCTCTGGTGTGTCAATAATAGCTGGATAAAGATACTAGGGGTTTGATAGTATGTTTCTAATTTAATTATGAATGAAAATATTAATGGTTATGGGATATAACGCAGTGTTTACTTTATTTTCTATGTATGAGTGCATGTGTATCTGCACCACTGAGTGCCTGTGGAGGTCAGAAGGTGTTGGATTACTCCCCTGGCACTGGAGTCATGGGTTGTTGTGAGCCGAACCTAGGTCCTCTGCAGGACGAACAAGTGCTCTTAACTTCATCTCTCCAGCCCCAAGTTCTACAGTTTTGTTTTGAGACAGGGTTTCTCTTTGTCATCCTGGCTGTCCTGGAACTCACTTTGTAAACAGACTTGAACTCATAGACACCTCCCATCTCAGCTTCCTGAGTGCTAGGGTTAAAGGTGTGCACCACCACACCTGACACGTTTTACTTTTTTTTTCCTATTTGTCTTTTACTGAAAATAGGGTGTTTTTTTTTAATAAAAAACAAAACAAAAAACTAGGCATGGTGATGCATGCTTTTAATCCCAGCACTTGGGAGGCAGAGGCAGGTGGATCTCTGAGTCTAAGGCTAACCTGGTCTACAGAGTGAGTTCCAGGACAGCCAGAGTACACAGAGAAACCCTGTCTCAATCAAACAACAACAACAAAAACACAGTAAATAAAAATTGCTTTGCTGTTAGGTTCTGATTTTTCAGTGACTGGTGGTGCCTGTGTCTCATGGCTGGTAGTTCCTCACCTGGGCTCAGGCAGCCCTGGCGGGGGTGTGGCAAGAATGCATTCTGAGCACAACCCACAGTACTATCAGATAATCCCATGGGCCTGCGGTGTAGAAAAGTCAACCGGTAATGACTCCCTTGTGTGTGTCCTAGGCATTTCTCATAGCCGTTGTGGTGCCAGACACCGAGAACCTGGGTTCCTGGGCCTCAAAGAGAGGGTTTCACGGCTCGTTTGAGGAGCTGTGCAGAAACAAGGTGAGACTCGGGAGTGTCCCAGCATCGTGTGCCTCACCACTCTGTCCTCAGCGTCTGTAGGGACGAGACAAAGTTACCTGGCTTTTCTTACATTATTAGGATATCCAGAAGGCTATCCTGGAAGACATGGTGAAACTCGGGAAGGAAGCTGGCCTGAAGCCATTTGAACAGGTGGGACTTTGAGCCAACTACAGGAGTTCAGTGCAGAACACAACCTGACTTGAAGATTTGCAATGAGTAGATCTGAGGGGTTGACGATCAGATCTAAAGAAATAGTAGAAACAGTTGATACAGAAGGATTTTCTTTTTAAAGATTTGTATGTATGTATGCATGCTCATGAATACAGGTGCCAAAATGGCCAAAGGTGTCAGATCTGGAGCTAAAGTTATAGGTAGTCATGAGCTGCCCAGCGTGGGGTCTGAGAATTGAACCTAGGTCCTCTGGAAGAGCAGGAAGTGTCCTTAACTGCTGAGCCATGTCTCCAGGGACAGGGTTTTTCTCAGTATGTGACTGCTCTTTCCCCTGAGGTTAGCAAACACTCGCAAATTCTGTCCTAATGGGGACCGTGTCCGCTGTTGAGAAAGCTCAGTGAAATTAGAGGTTAGATTGGATGACTTAAGGGTCTCCAGCCCCTTTGAGAACTCAATTGCTGTCGAGACTTAGGCTGTTTCTGCTGTGTCTGCTCTCTTCTCCCCTCATTTAAACAGCCTTGCTTATTTGCAGGTCAAAGGCATAGCTATACACACGGAATTATTTTCTATTGACAATGGCCTTCTGACTCCAACAATGAAGGCGAAAAGGCCAGAGCTACGGAACTATTTCAGGTCACAGATAGATGAACTGTATTCCACCATCAAGATATAACGTGAGGAAGACTACTTGGGAGAAACAGCACACCTCCACAATCTCCTTGTACCAATGGCCTTCGCATTGGTAACGTTGCCTGCAGCAAGTGTAGGAAAGGAAACGGCCATGATGGACTTGCCCACAGGGTCTTACCATGGGGATATTAGAGGGCACGGAACACTGCCTTACAGTCACTTGTGTTGCAGCCCATAATCCTGCTGATACACAATTTCCAAAACGAGCCTTAAGTATTGTCAAGGGGAGCCCGTAGAAGTGCTAAGTTATTTAAAACTTCCTCAACCGATAAGGTGGGTGTTAAAAAGTCTGTCTCCTATCTTTGTAAGTGAGGGTTAGGACTTCGCTCTTTCTGGTATGTCTGCTGCTTGCTGCACAGCCGTCTGCTGCTCTGAAGAGGGCAGTGCACTGGAGGAAAGAAAGTTGTCCTTTAAGACAAGAACAAGTGTCCAGGCTGAGGAAAGCCACAGCGGACCACAGATTTCTCTTTGTAAATCCCTTCCCCCTCCACAACTCCACCCCGCATACAACACGCTCACGCAACCCATCTGATATGTAAGGGTTCCAAATGGTCTCTGTTGTGCCTGCTGGGACACAAGTTTCCCAGTAAACTAATGGACCGGTCCTCCTCAGAACAGTGTGAGCGCCCAGTCTCAGAAATCAAGTAAAAACAGGAAGCTGGCTCACATAGCAGGATGCTCTTGGACTCCTCTCCAGATCTGGTCCCCTCCCCTCTTCCCAGGGGCAATGGGAAATCCTGCCTTAGAGACTGCATTGAAGATGGTATTTCAGAGAACGACCTGGATCGGCCATGCTCAACTGTGATGCCTCCGCCCATGTCCACTTGTTCCTCGTGGATCCAGCTTGTGTCTGTGAGGGCCACTGGGCTCCAAACGTGGTTTTCCTAGCAAATGATGATGTGCTGATCAACTTGCTTTTTTTTTTTCCTCCCAATTAAACTCAGGCAAAGCATGTCTTCACAACTATTAAGGGAGTTGATAAATGTGGGTACTTATTAAAATGGAAAATAGTAAGTAAATGTAAAACTACCTGATTTCTGTGAGATGCATTTAACAAGCCAAAACTGTGGGATGTAGAAATCTGGGGGAAATCCTGGGATTAACTTCTCAGGGGATTTTCGTTCTGTTTTGTTTGTTTTGCAGCGTTAATTTGGGAAATAAGCAGCATTTCACTCTACTGCGAGTCTTTGCCACATTTGACCTAGTCAAGCTGTCGTTTATACCTTTGAAGCCACCATTGTTGGCTGTGTGACAGTGCGTGTATTCTTGAAGCACAACAGGGTTTGCACTAAAGAATCGTCATTGTAATAACACTATTTGGTAGCCTAACTTCATACTTGTATTCTTAATTGCACAAGAAGTCGATAATTTTCACAACGGGGTTTTGAATGTTTGCTTTCAGTGTTGGCTATTTCTATGTTTTATAAACCAAAACAGAATTTCCAAAAACAATGAAGGAAACCAAAATAAATATTTCTGCATTTCGAGTGAGTGGAGAATGTCTTTCAAGTGCAGTGTGACATTCGGGACAGAGAGCCCACGGTGTGCACCTTGAGTTTGGATGGCCTTCCTTCTGGGAACCCTACCCCATTGCTTTCTTCCCATCTCCGATGTCTCTCTTCAGCCCGTTCAGTGACACTTACACTGCCCCCCCCCACCAGCCTGGCCACAGTCCTCAAATGCTGGGGGCGGGGAGAGACCACCATGGCATAGAATTTACACGATGTCAAGGATCTCTGTCTTAGGAGCTGCTTTGCTTGAAAGCGACGGTGTCAGGAGACATGAGCATCTGTTGGTCTGCAGTGGCAGGTTAGTTCACTGTATGGGACTAATTCTCTTTCTATATGGCTGGTTTATAAGTATCTTGTTTTACAGCAGCCTTTTTTCTTTCCCTTTCCTGGCCTGCTCTGTGTTAACAGGTGCTAAATAACTCCCAATTTCTTTAATCCCACTACTGCCATACTGATCTCTTCAAGTTTGTGTTTGTCTTTTGTGTGTGTGTGGGGGGGGGTGCTTTAGGAGGGGAGGAAGGAGAGAGAACCAGAACAAAAAAGTGCCTGTCTTATAGGGGTTTGAACCCAGGGCCTGATAGATGCTAGGCAAGTACTTTGTCATTGAGCTGTGTTCCTTATACTCTCTTCTTTTTATGAGTTCTCGTTAAATCACTCCAGGCTGGCCTTGAACTCACTGTGCAGCCAACAGCTGGCTTGAACTCCTCCTGCTTCAGCCTCTGGAGTGGCTGGGATTCCAGGTTTGTGACATTAGGCCTAGTCTGTTCTTTAAGGTTTGTTGTGTTTAGTGTTGTATGTTTGCGTTCTCCCTCTGAAGCCCAGATATATAAATATCTGACACAGCTTGCTTTATCCCATTTTCCGTTGCTATAACAAAGTACCTGAGGCTGGGTAATCTGTTAAGAGTAAAGGTTATTTAGCTTACAGTTCTAGGGACTGGGAAGCCTCAGAGCATAGCAGACACCATCTTAGCTTAGTATTTAAGTGTACAGTTGTAGGTTTAAAGACATCCACGTTCATGGACCCATCTGATTAGATGTCATCTAACTGATAGGGACACTCTGCAGAGTCCTGGGGTGGTATAGGTTGTCACAGGGCAAAGGGGCCTATGAAGGGTGGCCAAGCTTGCTTTTATTATTTTATGTGTATGGGTGCTTTTGCCTACATATATCCCCACATGAGGACAGCGTCTGAGGAGGCCAGAAGGGGGAGCGCCAGATCTCCCTGGAACTGAAGTTACAGATTGTTAAAGGCCACCATATGGGTGCTGGGAATTGAACTCAGGTCCTCGTAACCACTGAGCTCTCTCTCTAATCCTTCAAGCTTGCTTTTCTGACAGACTAACCTGTACAAACTAGCAACTCATAGTTATGCAAATAGGTTAACCCATTAGTGACAACAGAGCCAATCACCTCTCCTAGTATACAGGGTGTTAGGAGTTACATTTCTAATGAGTTCATGGCTCCTAGTCCAGACCGCCTTGTTTATTTACTTATTTAATAAATCCCACTTTGCCTCTGTCTTCCTCTCTTGCCCTGACCGAAGTGTAAAGTCTTGAGAACAGGCATTACTTTTCTTGTAGCACCAAACCTGGAACTTACAAGCTAGTGAATCTTCACCAGATGAGCCTTGAAATTCAGAGCAAATGTCAGGTTAACAAACAGGTTGTTGGGTTTGTCCTGGTGAAGTGCTCAGACAGCCTTGTCTTAACCTGTTTTAACCGGCCAGCTCTAGGGGCCTTATGTTCACGCATTCCTGTGGTGTCGCCAACTGACTGCCTTCCTGCAGAGTACAAACTTTGTGTCTGTTAGTCAATAGCTCCCATGCTTCCCTTCACCTCAGCCCCTAGCTACCACTGTCCTGCTTCCTCTCTGTGAACTCGAGTGTATCCCCTGTAAGTGGCAACAGATAACACTGATCCTTTCGTGGCTGGCTTAAGCATGTGTCTTAGGGTTTCTATTGCTGTGAAGGGACACCATGGCTCTTATAAAGGAAAACGTTTAATTAGGGGTGGCTTACAGTTCAGACGTTCAATCCATTGTCATCATGGTAGGACGTGGCAGCGTGCAGGCAGATGCAATGCTGGAGAACGAGCTAATTCTGTATCTTGAAACAGGCAGTGTGCCGAATGTCACGTTGAGCAAAGCTTGAGCAAAAGCGACCTTTGAGACCTTGTTTGAGTCCCTCCCTGCTTTCAACACTTCTTTGTGTGTGCCTGGAAGTGGAATTGTGTGTGTGTGTGTGTGTGTGTGTGTGTGTGTGTGTGTGTGTATCCGTTTTTTGGTTTTTCAAGACAGGGTTTCTCTTGTTGTTTTGGAGGTTGTCCTGCTGGAACTCACTCTGTAGATCAGGCTGGTCTGGAACTCACAGAGATCCGCCTGCCTCTGCCTCCCGAGTGCTGGGATTAAAGGCCACCAACTCCCTGCTTCCCATGTTACATTTCTACGAGCAGTACCATTTGCTTTTCATAATAGTCTGAGTGTGGTTTGAGTTTGCATTCTCTAGGTAGCCATGGATACTGAGCATCTCTGCTCCAAGGACATTTCTGTGTCCTCTCTGGAGAAGTCAGTGAAAACCCTCTGCCTTTAAAACATTGAGTTCATGAAGCTAGAGAGGAGTGCTGACGTTAAAAGCACTGGCTGCTCTTATAGAGGACCTGGGTTCAGTGGCCAGCACTCACGTGGTGACTCACAACTGTAACTCCACTTTTGGGGGATCTCATTCCACCTTCTGGCCTCTTTGGGGGATGGGCACACGTGTACTATGTATACATTCACACAGGCAAACACGCATTGCATAAAGTTAATTTTTAAAAATCGGGTTCTTTGGGTTTTCTTGTTATTGCCCTGTGGGAGTTCTTTATATATTCAGGGTATTAGTCCCTAAGCATTACTTTTCATTCTTTTACTGTGCTCTGTTGAGGGTGGGCCCTAGCTCGGCAGTGCTGGCTCTACCATGGTCTCTTCCCACAAACAAAGGCTGCACCTCAGAAGCCCATCGACTCTCCAGAAAGATAGGCGTTTTTTCTTCCCTCCAGGCTCACTGCATATTACACGTCTTAGCAACTGCCAGGACAGCTGGTCTTGTAATAGACACTGAGTCGGGGCCAGGAGCCAGAAACTGAAGAGCATGTCACTGCAGGGGAGGCCAGTCCAGCCTGAAACTCCTCTGCCCTGGATGCTCAGGCCAACCCCTCCCTTCAGGCCAGTCAGGACACGCCCTCACTTAATCTCCAAACCTCCAAGGGCAGTCTGTTTTTAAGGATAGCTGGCATTTAGTAAACATTTTGACTTGCTCCCTACCTTTAGGTCTGCATAGACTAGTGACTAGACCATACCGTGTGGAGTGTATTAGACCGTGGAGTGTGTTAGACTGTATGGAGTGTTGCCACAAGCCAGATTAGCTCATCTTGGCCAGTTTCTTTTTTTTTTTTTTCTTTGTTTTGGTTTTTCGAGACAGGGTTTCTCTGTGGCTTTGGAGGCTGTCCTGGAACTCACTTTGCAGACCAGGCTGGCCTCGAACTCACAGAGATCCGCCTGCCTCTGCCTCCCGAGTGCTGGGATTAAAGGCGTGCGCCACCAACGCCCGGCATCTTGGCCAGTTTCTGCTTTTATCCCCAGGTTACAGGTGCAACTAAATCGAAAATAATTCAGACAGTGTCTCACACTAGACAGAGCTAGATAGCAGTCTGGACCTGTAGACTGAACCTTACAGAGCAGGTTTCTGGTGTGTGTGTGTGTGTGTGTGTGTGTGTGTGTGTGTTTCAGCAATGAACTTCAGGAGGAAATGTGGACTGCTGGATGGCTGCAGTTGGACCTCTGAACTTTAGTACCAGTGGCCTTGGGCTCTAGATAATGGGTTTTCTGCATCATGCATCAACTAATGCTGCTTGAGTTTTATTCTGTTTTATGACGTCAAAAGTCACACAATTTTGGCAACCCCCAGTCCGTTGGGAGCCAACAGCTTGATGGAAGCGGCCATCTTACGTGAGGGTGAAATACTCATGAAGCAGAGTCACAGATTACAAGTCTCAGAACCCCCAGAAATCACCAATAAGCACACGTATTGGGAACCATAGGCCATTCTACACAGTGTTCTTATTTAATCCCCCTTAAAGCCCTATTAGGCAAGTGACCAGCCTGTAACTGCTTTATCTGCTTTTGCCAAGCTCTGGGCTGGCTCTGTTCTGTAGGGATACACAGTCCTCCCTGCCAACAAGATCCTTCCATGGAGCTGCTTCAGAGAGGCAGGCAATAGGCAAGGAGGCCAAGGAGTAATTCAGATGTGATAGGCTTTAAGCAAAAGTGGCTGTATTGATCTGCCCTTTGAGGTGTCGTTAGCACAGTGGTTCTCAGCCGTCCTAACGCACTGACCCCAACCATAAAATTATTTGGTGGCTACTTCATAGCTTAATTTGCTACTGATAGGAACTGTAAATGTCAGTGTTTTCCGATGGTCTTAGGAGACCCCTTGCGAAAGGGTTGTTTGAGCCCCCCCCCAAAGGGTCGAGACCCACAGGTTGAGAACTGTTGCATTATCAGAAGAGGTGTGTCAGGGGGTGATACTGGAGGTGATAACCTTGGTGAACAGGAAACAGCTGCCCATAGCTTGCAGGAAGGTTTTCAAATAGAAGAAACAGTGAGTGCGAAGGCCCTGGGGTGAGAGCCTGATTGGTTCATGGAAGCAGAGGGGAGCCAGTGAGGCTTGAGAGGTAAGCATCAAAACAGAAGAGATTGCCTGTGAAAACCGCCTCACTTGTGCTCTGGGTCCCTAAGAAACCCTCCAAACTAAAGAGCCATCTTCCCCGAATCACCCTCCTGAGGAACAGCCGGCTGCTCGGCAACCCCTGCGGTGAAAACAGAAGACTAAGAACCACAGAGTCAGCTGGGCCTGGCGGCACGCGCCTTTAATCCCAGCATTCCGGAGACAGAGGCCAGAGGATCTCTGTGAGTTTGAGACCAGCCTGGTCCACAGAG